TCTAAATTGGTGCCCGGCTCTTATCATCACCATTAGTTCCTTATCAGTAAACAACATCTAATGAGCCTTAATGGGCTTTTTATGGAGGGATTGGGAAGCTTGATAAGAGAAATGGGAGCTGTTGGTGACAGAGGCAGTGTTGTGGTTAATACTGTGGTTGTAATAATTTTTAAATTAATATTATTTTTATTATTGTTGGTATGAACATTCGGATTCATCAGCCCCGCTCCATTTGGTAACTGAATTTTTATCTGGGGAATTCCCCACCTACTTCCCTCCAGGAGAGTTTGGAGTTGGGATAATCTCCAGTTTAAAGGATTCCCAATTATCTTGGTTATGAGTTAAATTAGTGTTAGTTTGTTAATTTGTCTCATTCGGTATTAGTTAAATTTTAGTGATCTGAAATTTCTGGGCTGAGGTGAGACTTCATCTCAGTGTCACCCCTGGGTTATCCCTTTCCTCGCTTTTCCAGAGTTTTCCCGTTTTTTGGGTGATTCTTTGTCCTCACAGCCCCTCCACTGCTTTTCCATCCACAGGGAGAAGTTGGCAGTGCTGGAAAACCAGGAATTCCAGGATTTAATGGACAGCGTGGACCAAAGGTGAGGATCTGAACCATCCCAGAATCATGGAATGCTTTGGGAAGGGACATTAAAGGTCATCCCACAAGAGTTTTCCCAGAAGTTTTCCCAAATCCACCTCTGGAAAATGCCCATTTCTTCCTAAGGGCATAAATTGGATTTTCCTGGATCTGTTCCCATAAATCAGCACGGATTGGGTGAGGATTCTTGGATCTTGGGNAAAAAATTAAAATTTAAAAATTAAAAAAGAGGATTTTTAGCAGGTTTATTTGCTGCCACAACAATGGGAGACTCCATGGAATGAGCTCCCAGTGCTGGATGCGGCTCCAGAAGCCAAAAAAATTCCACAATGGGATAAAAAACCTGCAGCCCCCTTAAATAATTCCTGAAATCCCTGTTCCCATTCCCAAGCCCATGCAAATCTCCCTGCCTGGAATGACCCTTTTGCTGCCACAACTTCCCCAGCTGGAATTACAAATCCATCCCTTCCCAGGTTTTGTTTGCCAGGGATTTACAATCCATGGAATTGGGGTGAGGAATGGGAGAGAAATCCCAACCTCAGGCCTTGGGGCTGTTCCTGGGGGAGCTTCTGCCCTTGGATTGAGGAGTTCTAGAGCTGGGATTCCATCCTGGACTGTGCTCATCCCTTTTCCCTGGAAAAAACGGGCTCTGGAATGAATTTTTCCCAACTTTCTGGCAGGGTGCAGCAGGACTGGATGGGAAGAACGGGATCAAGGGAGCCAAAGGGGACAGAGGCCTTCAGGGACAGAAGGGGAAGCCGGTGAGTGGAGGGATTGTTTGGAATGTGGATCCCACATTTCTGTCTGTGCCTTCCTGGATCCCACATTCCTGTTGGGCCTTCCCAGATCCCACATTCCTGTCCTTTCTGGGATCCCACATTTCTGTTGGGCCTTCCCAGATCCCACATTCCTGTCTGTGCTTTCCCAGATCCCACATTCCTGTTGGGCCTTCCTGGATCCCACACTCCTGTTGGGCCTTCCTGGATCCCATATTCCTGTCTGTGCCTTCCCAGATCCCACATTCCTGTCTGTGCCTTCCCAGATCCCACATTCCTGTCTGTGCTTTCTGGGATCCCACATTCCTGTCTGTGCCTTCCCAGATCCTACATTCCTGTTGGGCCTTCCCAGATCCCACACTCCTGTCTGTGCCTTCCCAGATCCCACATTCTTTCTGTTCCTTCCCAGATCCCACATTCCTTTTGGTGCCTTCTCAAATCCCACATTTCTGTCTGTGCTTTCCTGCATCTCACATTCCTATTGGACCTTCCTAGATCCCACATTCCTTTTAGTACTTTCCTGGATCCCACATTCCTGTCTGTGCCTTCCCAGATCCCACATTCCTTTTGGTGCTTTCTGGGATCCCACATTCCTGTCCTTTCTGGGATCCCACATTTCTGTCTGTGCCTTCCCAGATCCCACATTCCTGTCTGTGCTTTCCCAGATCCCACATTCCTGCCTGTGCTTTCCCAGATCCCACACTCCTGTCTGTGCTTTCCCAGATCCCACATTCCTGTTGGGCCTTCCCAGATCCCACATTCCTGTCTGTGCCTTCCTGGATCCCACATTCCTGTTGGGCCTTCCTGGATCCCACATTCCTGTCTGTGCTTTCCCAGATCCCACATTCCTGTCTGTGCTTTCTGGGATCCCACATTTCTGTCTGTTTCTTCCCAAATCCCACATTCCTTCCTGCTCCTTCCCAGATCCCACATTCCTGTCCTTTCTGGGATCCCACATTCCTGTTGGGCCTTCCCAGATCCCACATTCCTGTCTGCTCCTTCCCAGATCCCACATTCCTGTTGGGCCTTCCTGGATCCCACATTCCTGTCTGTGCTTTCCCAGATCCCACATTCCTGTCTGGGCCTTCCCAAATCCCACATTCCTGTCTGTGCTTTCCCAGATCCCACATTTCTGTTGGGCCTTCCTGGATCCCACATTCCTGTCTGTGCCTTCCCAGATCCCACATTTCTGTCTGTGCTTTCCCAGATCCGACATTCCTGTCTGTGCTTTCCCGGATCCCACATTCCTCCCTTCTCCTTCCCAAATCTCACATTTCTGTCTGTGCTTTCCTGCATCCCACATTCCTTTTGGGCCTTCCTGCATCCCACATTCCTTTTGGGCCTTCCTGCATCCCACATTCCTGTCTGTGCCTTCCCAAATCCCACATTCCTTTTGGTGCCTTCCCAAATCCCACATTCCTGTCTGTGCTTTCCTGCACCTCACATTCCTTTTGGGCCTTCCTGCATCCCACATTCCTATTGGACCTTCCTAGATCCCACATTCCTTTTAGTACTTTCCTGGATCCCACATTCCTGTCTGTGCTTTCTGGGATCCCACGTTTCTGTCCTTTCTGGGATCCCACATTTCTGTCTGTGCTTTCCCGGATCCCACATTCCTGTCTGTGCCTTCCCAGATCCCACATTCCTCTCTGCTCCTTCCCTGTCTCCTCCTTCACAGATCCCACATTCCTTTTGGGCCTTCCCAGATCCCACATTCCTGTCTGTGCTTTCCTGGATCCCTCACTCCACTCTGTGCCTTCCCAGATCCCACATTCCT